CCCCTAATGCCATGAATAGCCTCACACCCCACCCAAGTTGTGACATCCAAAACTGTCCCCAGACAAGTATACCCTGGAAACAAAATCACCCTAGTTTGAGAACCACTGGTGTCAATTGTAAACCGCAGATTGGGTAGGGGGTAAACAACCCTCTAAATTTTCATAAGTCCTTTTTTTTTCTTCTCTTTCTTTTGAGACAGTCTTGCTCTCTCACCCAGGCTGGAGTGCAGTGGCATGATCTCGGGTCACTGCAGCCTTGCCTTCCCAGGCTCAAGTGATCCTCCCACCTCAGCCTCCCAAGTAGCTGGGACTACAGGCACGCACCACCATGCCTGGCTAATTTTTGTATTTTCTGCAGAGACGAGGTTTTGCCGTATTGCCCAGGCTGGTCATGAACTCCTGGGCTCAAGCAACGCACCCACCTAGGCTTCCCAAAATGCTGGGATGACAGGTGTAAGCCACGGTGCCTGGCCTCAAAAAAGTATCCTGATGGCTTCATGCTTCCCTCTCCATACCCTAGTCCTGGCCCTGGTGCCGGTATAGAAGACGAGTTTGTGCAGATATGTTAATGTGTGTCCACATACCTCTGTGTGCCACTCCACTTGGGGCATTAGGGATCCAGGAGAGGGGGTCTGCAAGGGTGTGTCCACGTAGGGGTGTGTGTGTGTCTGTGGGTCCACCACACATGCGTGGGTGACCAGGAGGTGGACCCATAGACACATGCACACCCCTGCACGTCTCTGTGCCATGAGGAGTCTGTGGGCGGGTCTCTGACCTGCTCTGGGTGCCTCATGGACCCTCGGACCTGTTGGGGAAACTGACACCATCTGTAGCTCCAAGACCCCTGACACTCCCTGGGCAGGGCTTGGAGCACTCAGGTGGCATATGGGGACACACGCAGCTGGGGATGTGAGTGTGGACATGAATTGAGTGGATGAGAGGATTAACCAGGTGCCTGGTGTACAGTAGGTGCTTAATAAGTGCCTTTTTTTTTTTTTTTGGAGACAGAGTTTCATTCTTGTCACTTAGGCTGGAGTGCAATGGCACGATCTCAGCTCCCTGCAACCTCCACCTCCTGGGTTCAAGTGATTCTCCCACCTCAGCCTCCCAAGTAGCTGGGATTACAGGCGCCCACCACCACACCTGACTAATTTTTGTATTTTTTAGTAGAGACAGGTTTTCACCATGTTGGCCAGGCTGATCTCCAACTCCTGACTTCAAGTGATCTGCCTACCTCGGCCTCCCAAAGTGCTGGGATTACAGGCGTGAGCCACTGTGCCTGGCCAGTGCTCACTTTTCTTTTTTTTTTTTTTTGAGACGGAGTCTCGCTCTGTTGCCCAGCCTGGAGTGCAGTGGCGGGATCTCAGCTCACTGCAAGCTCCTCCTCCCGGGTTCATGCCATTCTCCTGCCTCAGCCTCCCGAGTAGCTGGGACTACAGGTGCCCGCCACCACGCCGGCTAAGTTTTTGTATTTTTTTTTAGATGGGATTTTACCATGTTAGCCGGGATGGTCTCGAACTCCTGACCTTGTGATCCACCCACCTTGGCCTCCCAAAGTGCTGGGATTACAGGTGTAAACCACTGCGCCCAGCCAGTACTCACTTTTTATTTGCATGCATGATGCTTGTTTGGTGGGTCACTCAGTGGGATGTGTGTGCATTTGTGCACATGCAGCACGGGGTAGCGTGTCCTCTGTCATTTCTGTTCCAGTTGAGTTTCACTCTGTCCCCAGGTGAGTTGCTGCAGTGGCTGGAGAGACGACATCTGCTCCATGGGCTGGTGACCGACAGCAACCCTGTGCTGGGACCTGGCCTGCAGCCCCTGCCCCAGACTTCTCACCATCACCGCCACCACCGTGCAGCTGCCACCAACCCTGCACGCTACTGCTGCCTCAGTGGGTGTACCCAACAAGATCTGCTGACCCTATGTCCCTACTGATTCCTCCTTGGGTGCAGCCTCAGAGTGGCCTGAGGCCCAGAGCGTCTGGTCTGGTGAGCTCCTGAGGCCACACAGCACCATCAAGTCTTGTGTCTGCAAGCTTTTGATTACCTCCTGGGATGGGGTGCTCACTATCTACCCCAGACCAATGCCACCTGCAGCCTGTGGAGTCAACTGCAGAATAAATCACACCCTAGCCCTGGCTTGGAGGATCCCCGCTTTCACAGATGCTGGACACTGAGAGCCAAATGTCTTTACTCCAGAGGCGCCCCAGACGCTCCGCTCCCTGCATGTGTAACACCCCTTCTTGCTGTCTCCTAGTAAATAAACGACCCAAAGCAGCTTCCTGCATTTTCTCTAGAAAAAGGGACAAGCCTCAGTCAGTCCCTGTGTGGGCTTGTCCCCCAGCAGCCACAGACCCACCGGAACTTCCAGGAGCTTGATAACTGAGAGGCATTGTGACGCAAAGTGGGGAAACTGAGGCCCAGGGTGAGGGCTGCTTGCCAAGGTCACCCAGGGAGGGAAGGGTTAAGTGCAGGACTTGAACCGAGGTCTCTACCAAGGCCCATGGGAGTCCTTAGCATTGAGGACTTAGAATGGCAGGACATTAGACACAAAACAAACGTCTGAAAATGATCATCACAAAACACACTGGTCTTTTTTGTTTTTTTGCAGACAGGGTCTCACTCTGTCGCCCAGGCTGGAGTACAGTGGCACAATCATAGCTCACTGAAGCCTCCAACTCCTGGGCTCAAGTGATCCTCCCACCTCAGCCTCCAAGGTAGCTGGGATTACAGGCGCCCGCCACCACACCCAGCTAATTTTTGCATTTGTAGTAGAGACGGAGTTTCACCATGTTGGCCAGGCTGGTCTTGAACTCCTGAACTTAGGTGATCTGCCCACCTCGGCCTCCCAAAGTGTTGAGATTACAGGCGTGAGCCACTGCACCTGGCCCAGTCATTGGATTCAGGGTCCACCCTAATCCATGATAACCTCATCTCTGTCTACAAAGACTCTATTTCCAGGGACTGTCCCCTGAGGGCAATAGGGAGCCACAGAGGGTGTGTGAGCAGGGGGCAGAATGAGGTCAGATGTGCCTGTTAGAAAGAC